CCGCTTTGCAGTCTCTCGCGAGATGTTCTATGGATGAACAGCATCTAAAGCATATGGAGTGATCTTTCAGGAATTGCTTGCGATCATCGATGATCTTCTCCCTGAAGCTTCTGCACTTTTTCAGCGGGTGAGGCTTTCCATGTATGGGACAGAGCTTGTTGTCATCGACTGATTTATTTTTACCTCCGTATTCCTTGGGTGGGAACACAGTTGTCTTGTTGACAGATACAGATGCCCTGATAAACCTGTCTGACCCCTTTCATGGTTCTGATGGTGCTTGAGAAACAGCGAAGTTGAAGCTGGGATCTGTCACAGCTTCTGTGTGCACAAAGTCGACAAAGACAGGAAATGGAGGAAAGCTGACGTTGTTGTCACACTTGTATCTCGACCCGTATGACATCCACCTTTCCTGGAGATTATACGGCAACATTTCTGCGATGGGATGAACTCCCCTGGATGTGTCCAAGCACGCTAGCCCAGGTAGGTTACCATCCAGCTTTGCTGCTTCAACCTCTAGCAATGGATCTCCGAGTTCACGGAGCTTTTCTGGTTCTTTGTTTGTCAGTGTTGGGAAACGCTCTAATTTGGAGAAGAGAGCTCGCTCAATGGCTTCAGGCGAGCCGTACGTCTCTCCCAGCCTCTCCCAGGCCATACTTAGTCCAGCTGGCGGACATCTGATGTTCACTGCTTTGAGCCTGCGAACGTGCTCTGAAGACTCTCTGCCAAGCCATCTACTGAGGAGGTCCAGCTCTTCTCCTGCAGTAAGGTCTAATCCAGCAATGGCACTCTTGAAAGACGATTTCCAGGCCCAATAGTTCTCTGGTTTGTCATCGAAGGTCCTTAGGCCTGTTGTGACAAGCTGGTTGCGAGCCAGACACTTAGCAAGATCGTGGTTGGTAGGTATTCTGTCGTACTATGAAATACGTGGATTTATGCAGAAGGCCCCATGTGGGTGAGTGGAAGGCTGATGTTGATTGAAGGGCTGTTCGTCTATGTGTTTTTGATAGGAAGGCTGCCTTGGTCATCACATGGAAGTCCAGTTTGCCATCGGCGTGTCACATGTGGTGTGTGAAATGGGGCTTCGTCCATATTGGAATGGTATGATGACTTAATAAGCGACTGCTCCCTCACGTATTCCTCCGTATGTTGCAGCCATTTTTGAGGTGAGAGAGGAATAGGCTTTTTGGCTGCAGATCCTAGATCACTCTCAACTAGGCCAGCTTCCAGCATTTCCAATTCAGCTTTAGCAGCATCCCTTTCTTTCTCTACCTGAAGTGTGTCAAGTGTAGCTTGTAGACGGGCTTGTTCGACCTTTAAAGCTATCTCCTGCTGAGTATAGGATGCTCTGGCTTCAGCTGCTGCGGCTTTTGCTCGTGCTCTTGCGACGGCAAGCATGGCATTTTAATTGAGGGATGAACCGCTTTCCCTTGAACGGGTTTGTAGAGACCGGGTTTCCTCATTGAGTTCGTTGTTCATAAGTTCCACTTTGTCCCTGACAGTCTTGGAACTTGCATGACTCATCTTGAGGTGAAAGGTGGCTCAATGTTGTTTTAAGATAAATGAGGTTCCACGTAGATGCTCTTCGATGTGTGGAGCTTGTTGTAATGCTGTCTTTTTTTACTGTACTGTTCTTACTAGCTATTCAGTCAGCATAAACATGAACTTCAAATAATTCCAGGAGAACGGGATTCTGAATTGGAGATTACTGAAGCTCCTGAATATTCTTATATTCTTTATTGTAAAACTGTAACACACAAGAAAAATACATTGTTTTACAGTTGCAATGAGATAAGTATACATGACAGGTATACAGAAACACGACATACATGACCATGCTATGGTAATGCTAGGCTAGTTAGACAGCTTAGAAGGCTAACAAACTAATCTATTTTATAAGTGAAGAGAAAACAAGAGTTTAGCAAAATGCTAACAGTGCTAAGCTAACTTCTCGGAGACTTCAACCTCCAGACAGGGCAGAAAGACGAACTAACATCTCTGTTAACCGCCTTTGCTTTCTCACTGTCTCCATCCCCACCGACTCATAAAGCTGGCAATGTCCTTGATCTCATATTCTCAAGGAACTGCGCTACTTCTAACCTCTCTGTAAAGTGTAAACCCGCTCCACACATCCGATTACTTAATCATTTAATTCTCTCTACCCCTTTCCAAACATAACAAACTAATCTCTTCTCATCCTGCACCTGTCCGCCGTAACCTTCGTTCCCTCTCCCCCACTACCTTTGCCTCATCGGTGCTCTCAGCCCTCCCTTCCTCTGACTCGTTCCAACTCCTGCCTCCAAACTATGTTGCAGAAACTCTCCTCTCTACTCTCTCATCCACTCTGGACTCTCTCTGTCCTCTCACATCTCGGCAGGCTCGTCAGTCCCCTCCTGCTCCCTGGCTAAATGATGCACTGCGTGCTAATAGAACCGTCCTTAGGGCAGCAGAGCGTAAACGGTGGAAATCCAAACACCGTGACGACCTCCTAACCTATCAGGCTCTCCTCTCCTCTTTCTCGGCTTCGATCTCTCAGGCAAAAAGCACTTTTTTTCAAGATAAGATCCAATCTTCCTATTCCAATCCCAAAAAACTATTTTCCATCTTCTCCACCCTCTTGGACCCTCCAAAAGCCCCTCCCCCCTCCTCACTTCTGTCAACCGACTTTGTTACCCACTTTGAAAAAAAGGTTGACGATATTCGCTCTTCTTTTTCTGACTCACCTTTACTCACCGCTGGGTCACCAGACCCTCCTTCCACCAACACACTTACCTCCTTTTCCCCTCTCTCTCCAAGTGAGGTTCTTACCCTCATTACCTCTGCCCGCCCTACCACCTGTCCTCTGGACCCCATCCCTTCAACCTCCTTCAGACTATCGCTCCTGATATTCTACCGTTTCTCACCCATTTCATCAACACTTCTCTAACTTCTGGTCACTTTCCAAACAGTCTGAAGGAGGCAAGAGTAAACCCTCTCCTAAAGAAACCCACTCTCAACCCATCAGATGTTATAAACTACAGGCCTGTGTCTCTACTACCGTTCCTGTCTAAATCACTTGAACGCGCTGTCTTTAAACAACTCTCCTGTTATCTCCATCAGAACAACCTTCTGGATCCGCACCAGTCTGGTTTCAAGGCAGGTCACTCCACATTGCTCTCATTGCTGTCACTGAGGAACGGCACCCTGCCAAAACTGCATCCCTCTCCTCTGTCATCATCCTGTTGGACCTGTCTGCTGCATTTGACACGGTGAATCATCAGATCCTCCTTCGCACTCTCCAAAAACTTGGAGTTTCAGGCTCTGCACTTTCCCTCCTCACCTCATACCTCAAAGACCGTACCTACAGGGTAACTTGGGAGGGTCTGAGTCCGACCCTTGTCAATTAACTACAGGGGTCCCTCAGGGCTCTGTTCTTGGTCCCCTACTCTTCTCCCTGTACACAAACTCGCTCGGATCAGTCATTAGCCCGCATGGTTTTTCATACCACTGCTACGCTGACGACACCCAATTAATTCTGTCCTTTCCCCGCTCAGAGACCCAGGTCGTCGCACGCATCTCTGCTTGTCTAGCTGACATCTCTCAGTGGATGTCTGCTCATCACCTCAAGCTCAACCTTGACAAGACTGAGCTGCTCTTCCTTCCGGGAAAAGATTGTCCCACTCTTGACCTAACAATCAACATCGGCACCTCAGTTGTTTCCCCGACTCAGACTGCAAGGAATCTGGGTGTGACCCTAGATAACAACCTGTCCTTCACTGCAAACATCGCTGCTACAACCCGTTGCTGCAGATACACACTTTACAACATCAGGAAGATACGTCCCCAGCTGACACAGAAAGCGACGCAGGTTCTGGTCCAGGCTCTTGTCACCTCACGCCTAGACTACTGCAACTCCCTCCTGGCTGGTCTACCTGCATGTGCCATCCGACCTCTGCAGCTCACCCAGAATGCAGCGGCTCGTCTGGTCTTCAACATTCCTACATTTTCCCACACCACTCCGCTCCTCCGCTCCCTTCACTGGCTTCCGGTAACTGCTAGAATCCACTTCAAGACACTGGTACTTGCTTACCATGCTGCGAATGGATCTGGCCCTTCGTACATCCAGGACATGGTTAAAACCGTACACCCCAGCGCGTGCACTACGCTCTGCATCAGCCAAACGACTCGCTGCACCCTCGCTGCGAGGGGGACCCAAGTTCCCATCAGCAAAAACACGTGGGTTTGCTATCCTGGCTCCAAGATGGTGGAATGAGCTCCCCATTGACATCAGGACGGCAGATAGCTTGCACATCTTCCGGCGCAAACTGAAAACTCATCTCTTTCGACTCCACTTCGAGCGATAGATTTATTAACAAAGCACTTATATACTAATAAAGGACTGGCTTATCTAAAGCCAGTTGAGTAGCACTTGAAATGTTTGGCTCTATGAAGCCTGATGTACTTATATGATTCTGTTTTCTTCAAGGTTGTGTCGTCCTGGTCGAATGTACTTATTGTAAGTCGCTTTGGATAAAAGCGTCAGCTAAATGCAATGTAATGTAATGTAACAACGAGCTAATATGCTAAGCTAACGACTAGCTAGTATGCTAAAGAGGCTAAGCTAACGACGAGCTAATACACTAACGGATTACATTGTCATTGACATGAGGCGTTAGCATAGGCCTAGCGTTGCAGATGCAGTTTAACGTCACATAATAAAGGTATGAAATACGATCAAATTATGAAATAAACACTGTTCAACATTAATATAGTTTCAACCAACATTACTTACAGACAATGCGCTTAACAAGTCTCCAGAAGATGGATGCAGCCAGATTGTGGAGCTAACAAAATGAGACTGCCACATGTAATTTCCCAACTGACGCAACTTCCTGTATGACTATTTCCTGTGATAGATAAAGCTGCGCTATTATCACTCGCCACTAGGGGCTCCCACAAACACACAGCTCTATACACAGAACACGACAATAACACTTAATTGTTTTTCTCCTGATTGAACTAAGGTCTACCAGCACTCTTTTTCTGCATCGTACCTGATCTACAACCTGTACACAAGGTGAGCAAACCAAAAATTAAACAAGTTGCATAATTAAATGACTTTCTCTTAATGATATTACGGTGGCCAATAGGTGCTAACACACAACACACAACGGTCAAAAACACTTCCATCAGGAGAAACGCGCTGCAGCTTCAGAGACGATCTACCAAAACGCAATCAAATATAGAAACATCGTCACCAACTTGAAAAAACATGCGCATCATTTATAAAAAGCGGTGCATACACAAATGCCAGGGGACACTAAAAATATGCATGCTTCTTCATTTGCGTGTGTTTTCGCACATTAGTGTTTTTACATCTGCATATTCTTTTTAATTGCAGAGCGTTCCTCCTAATGGAAATGTATTGGGCTTTGCCCCTGTCAGCCACTGTAAGATATCGTAAAAGGTCTCAACTAGATCAGTGAGAATCTTAAAAAAAAAAAGTATCTTCAATGTATTTAGTTTGAACGCATATTGAGGAGAAAAGGTTAAAAACATTCTTACAAAATCAATAACTGATTACATTTTGTAAAATGTAATTCAAGTTTCAACAGGAATGGCATATTTATGCAATACATATAATTTGGATGAATAACATTGTACAGCACATTATTAAACATTTTAAAAAACATTATTTAATAGTTCGAAATCTACATTTTCAGTGATTATATTTGTGATTTAGAAACAGATTTGAAGTATGTTGGTCTGCTGGTCAAATCCTTAGTGTGTCTTTATGTCCCCTGCACAGAGAGGTGCGGGAGCTGAATCCCCCGGAGGTGTCGGACTCCGTCCTGCAGTTCGCCTCGTGGGGCGTTCAGGGTCAGCAGCTGGTGAGTAGCTTACAGCCAAATCAGGATTTATTTGCTGAGTGGTGCAAATATGACGTAAGTTTGTAGGCGACCTGGAAGCAAGTTTATGATTCTTACACAACTTCTTCACCAAGATAATCTACACAATTATCCCCACTTTAAAAATAGGCAATGCTTAAATGCAATTGCCAGCAGTAAATAGCTACAACATGCAATAAACAAATTACATAACGTTGCATGACTTCACATCACGACCGCTGACAAGTGTTTTCTCATTTAGTCACTTGTAAGACACATACAAGCCTTGGAAATTCACCAGTAGGGTATTGACTGATGTATTTTATGTCGTAGAACAAAACGTGAAAATCCTTGCTGCATTCAGAAGAGTGATGATTGATTACAATGTCTTTCTAATAAAGTGTGAGTTCATGGCATTCATAAGATCCTCTGCTCTGAGGTGAAGGCTCATCAAATACTGTTTCTGACTGGAGAGAAACATAAACCCTTTAAACTGAACCATTATTCAGAAGCAGTTGTACTTATCATGCTGCTGCTGGAGACATCTTGTGGGGGGGCTGCAGCTCTCTGTTTGAGTAATGCCTCCACCATGCAGAGTATTACAGACCGAATAATCAGTCCATTATTTTCTCCAGCGCAGCCTAGGAGAGTAATCAACCATTTGGTAGCACATTTATCTCGTTTCCTCAGTATTTGTGCCCGTCCTCTGAAAGCTGCTCTTAAGGAAGCCCTGAAGCGGCGTGTCACATCCTGAATGACTAAATATCTTCCATTTCTCACATGCTCTCCCTGCGTTAAGAGGAGACGCTCAGTGAATGTGATTTTATCATTTAGCATGTTCTCTATGTGTGAACGGCTCACCAGGTTCAGTCTTTGTAACTTCAACAATGTTGCAAAAAAGCTGGACAAAATGCTAATATTGGTTAGTTCTGTTTAACATTTCTGTATGGGTTCTGGACTAAATGTGTCAAACTTAGTTGAAATACAAATAATGCTAATGCAGAGATGGCAAATGTACACACATCTTTCGCAGATACTCGTATTTAAAAATACTCTGCTGAAAGTTGAAGTACTGACTGAACCTTTTGAATCAAGTTAAAGTATAGAAGTATGGGTATTTTAAATATACTTAAGTAACATTTAGCCATAATTACCAGCTGTTTTCTAGAACATCTCCCTCATATATGGCCATGGGTGATTAGAAATGTCTCTGTTCCCCGTAAGATGTACGGAGTAAAAGTTAAAAGTCGTCAGAAAAATTAATTATGGAGTAAAGTACTGATGCCAGAAAAATGTACTTAAGTGCAGTAACAAAGTATTTGTACTTCACTACTTCCCATCCCTTTGCTAATGTACGTTTTGCACATGCTGTGTACATTGATGAGTTGCATATACTGTAGTGAACTGGAGATGGAGGATTCAAATGATTTCCTCTTCAAGCGTCAGACACTGCTTCTTGCACACAGTGAGAAGAATCATTGGGCAGCTTTTATACACCACACACTGGGGGGTGTATATAATAGTGTAGAGTAGGGGACTGGCTCAAGGGCACCTTGGCAGGAGGCAAACTAGCACCTCTCAAAGCACCAGTCCACTGGTGACCCTCCTGAATCCTCACTCAGGACCACCAGGGACTTCACAATACTTACTCATACTAGTACTTATCAATATATCCCCTCTTCCCCACAGTTATACATATTTGAAAACAACATCTACTACCAGGCGGATGTTCAGAGCAGCTCATGGAGGCTCACGTCTTCAGGGCAGGAGGGGGTGATCTTCAACGGCATCACTGACTGGCTCTACGAAGGTGAGGGAGACCACAGTGGATCATGTTCAGACACGTGTAGAACATCAGGATTCCTATTGCAGAAAAAAGCATTCCTTCTTTTGAAATGTCATGTGTATAAAGATTCATCTAGATTGTCTACTGTGGCACAGGAAAAGCTTCTATACCCTTTTATATGAGAAATGACAGACGTCGAGGAGGAACTGGATTTATATTGACTTGACAGTGACTCTGCTGGCTGTATTTATTATGACTGTCATCTGTCAGGAACAAAACACACGTAATATGTCATTATTGTTGTTGCTGTGAACCTCACAGGTGGGGGGGAGCGGAGGGATAGGTGTTCCTATTTCTATAACAGAACCTGAACATTATGATGGCAGTTCAAGTTTCCTGTTGGCAACTTGCGACCCAAGAATGGAGTTTGAGTTTAAAGCCGACCAACTGAAAATATTACATTACCTTAATTATGCCCAACTCTTTTTATTTAGCATTGAAAAGTATTCTATTGAAAAGTATTCTATAGTATTATATAATGGTTAATATGTGTTAGTTGAAGTCTGTGTTATGTTCCCAATTATTATTCTTTTGTATTATTATTGTTATTTTCTTATGAGCTAAGGTACATGTTGAGCATTACCTAGGATTAAGTCAACCGAGAAAGAATGACACACTAGTCAGTCAATTTGTTGATTATTCCACCAGCTGTTCATTTACATGTTGATAAATCACCACACGATCATAACAATAGGAGCATGAACAGAATGGGAATTGTAATTTGCACTTGCTCAGCAGCCCCCCCTCTCGCTGCTCTGATGCTCTGGTGTGTGTTCTCCAGAGGAGGTGTTGCTCTCTCAGGCAGCCCACTGGTGGTCTCCAGACAGCTCCAGACTGGCCTACCTCACCATCAACGACTCCCTGGTTCCCAACATGCTGCTGCCCCGCTTCACAGGGTCGCTCTACCCCAGGGGGGTGGAGTACCCTTACCCAAAGGTAAAACTGAAGAGTATTTAAAGGGGTTTTCAGACCAAACATTAGTCGCTGTCATGTCTGGGTTCCAACCAGGCAGATGCATATTGGTGAATGATCTGCCTTCTACTGAACCAACAATGTTCCACCCTGACACGCCGTCACTTCTGGAGGTTTGTTCATCCTGCAAATTATTAATGAAGAAGCAACACTTTTTACTGTCAGATAGATTCAGAATTATTTCATATGGGAAATAATAGGGTGTTAATAATGTATGCTGTTCAAGAAGTAGATTTCTGGGTATAACACTATAAACATTTCAACTTGCAAACACTCCTGTGGCCTGGCACACATTCACCATTAAACACTCTGTGTTGATTTGAACACCATAAACTATAATGTATTTCCAGAATGGAATTTATCTCATAAGTAAAGCCAGCTAAAACCTTTACATTGATGATTTGGGGTATTGACTTGTTTGCAGGACAAGGAGTATTTCAGCTGACTGTTCACTGACTCACTAGAACATGCTTTATCTTACTTCATACTGTACAACAACCCTTACGACCTGAGTTTACTGTAACCAGCATCAAAGCAGCTCTCTGAGTATTACTGCAGGCTCTCTGCTGTAGGAATGCAGGTTAGTGAATCCTTCTCCTGTGTCATTCGTGTTACAGAGGCTTGGTTTCTTTGAAGAGGGTTGGCTGTAGGGATCTGTGGCACCGCGAGGGATGAGGATGTGATATGCTTTAGTGAGGCACATTAACACACCTCCCATCCTTTGATGCAGGTGTTTAGCGTGTCAAATGCCTGTTAGACGGGAGATTGGTTGTGAAAAACCGGGGAATTAGGGTCACAAGGTGGAGGACCATGGGCGTAATTTCCACTGGGGACAGGGGGGACATGTCCCCCCCACTTTTCAAAATCCCATTTGTGTCCCCCCCACTTTTTAAATGTGTTACGCAAGCGGTCATCGTCACGGAGGAGCGTGTGTGTGTGGCACGAGCGCATCTTGTGAGAGAGAGAGAGATTTACGGGGGTTGTTGTTAGCATTTGGTGCTAGCTCGGAGCTAACGGAGATTAGAAACTGTTTCAACAATAAGGAGAGGGAGAGTCCTCTCCTGTCGGACTGAGAGAGATAACGTCAGCTCAGGGAGGTAAAGGACTCTGAGTGATTAGGTTGTAAACTTTAGTCTAAATTATCTCAGTGGGTCTCAAATGGTTTGGTCATCTATGTAAACAAATATTTCCATCTATGTAATATTAGTTGTATATAAAATAAGTTAAGAAATCCTTCAAATGTGTACTATAGGTCAGTACAAAAATAAAAAACACAGATTGAAAGGGGAGTGATCAGTCAAATATGCATAAATAAAAAGAAAGAATGCAGATAGGTAAGATAAAGATAGGAGAGAGGAGTTTATCAATGATTTGTTATTGGTTGTGAGCATATTCTAATGGTTTTTTGTTTATTGAAATATATACAGTTCTGTTTCATATGAGTGTTGAGAGCTTTATCCATACATCTCTTAATGTTGCCCTCAAAGTGCACCAGATTTATGCTTTTAACTTCAATTTTAAGAAAAACATCTTCCTGGGGTGCATGCCCTCGGACCCCCCTAGAGGATGTGAGGTCATCACAAATAAAACAGATTCACATGGATAGGATACTAGATAAGTGTGCACACTTATCAGAATCAATATAGATGTTTTTTTATTTTAAAGAGTCCGTCCAAAAAATATGTTGTACTTATAGTGAAAACTAACCTTGGATGATGGGTTAGTAGACTAAAATCTTTAGGAATCCAAAGTACAACATATAATAAGTACCCTGTATCAAGATTGATGCAAAACAAGTGATATTTGACCTTTTTAGACAGAGTTAGCAAAAAAAAACCTTCTGGGGTGATTTGGGTGGATTTTCCATATCTCTGGCCCCCCTTGTTCGATGTTGACATGTGACATCTCTTTCTGACCGTTAGAGCCAATAGAATCCAAGGGAAATCGTCCCGCACACACTCATGTTAATAAAACAAAGATGGCCTCTCTGCGCATCCTAGCTTGTAGGAGAGGGGAGAAATATCGCTGCTCTGATATCAAGCAACGGAAAAGCTGTTTTATTCCTTATCATCTTAAGCCCTGAGCCTGTTTTTCAGGTTTCAGGCTCGAAAATGCCACTAACACAACAAAGACTATATCTTCACTGCTAAAAGGGGTAAATTAATAATCTTTTCCCTCAAAGCAGGGTTACATCTGTGAGTTGGATGTAGAAGTGTCAGAATAAATATAGATGTTTTTATTTTTAAAGTAAATTCAGATGGAACATGGTACAAACATGTAAATTCTAATGTCCGCCTAAAAAAAACAACATTACTTATAGTGAAAACCACCCTTGAATGATGGGTTAGTAGACTAAAAGCTTTAGGAATCCAAACTATAACATATAATAAGTACCCTGTATCAAGATTGATGCAAAACAAGTGAAATTTGACCTTTTTAGAGAGATTTAGAAAAATAAAGACTCACCTCTGGGTAATTTGGGAACCATCAGTTCCATTTGACCTTTTTCACTGTAAAAATAATTGTATTACTTTGAATTATCACTATAGGTATTCATTCCATCCAAATACAACTGTTGTGAAAAAAAACAAAAAAACATACTCTGTTATCCTCTTAGGCCCCACGGACCCGAAATCGCGTCATTTGCAGGAAACAACGTTTAAGGTACCTTAATATTTAATAAACTATGAATATTTTATATCCATATAACGGAAAAAAAACTAATTTAACTGATCTTATTAATTTGTTTTTTCAAAAAAACCACAATGCTAACAGTGAGCCTCTGAATTAGCCCCGAGCGAAACATGCTAACCTATTACTTCACCGAAAATCACTCCTAGCTCCCTTATTACTTATCCTAGCTGCACATCCAACACATCGTTTATGATCGTAAAGACACAGAATCTAACGGTGCTGACCTCAACACTGAAAGATACAAACTTGCAACGTTATCAACAAAAACGTACATCAAAACAAGTGGCGCTAGGTACTAACATGCGCTAGGCTAACATGGCTTACCTTCGTCTTTGCCTGGTCTAAACTGGTCTTCAATGGCATTACAACGATAAAAACGATGATGTAGTTAATCCATAGGTTAATATCCAATGTGGCTGCGTCCCCTTTGAAATGTTCTGATAATCTATAAGCAATCAAACTGCAATTCCGTTATCTGCTGTCCACTCTGTGCTCCGTGCGCTCTGGGTCCTACAATTCCTGCTTCCTTATGTAGTAAACAATAAGTAAAGTCTGCTGCGTAAGGTGCTTACGCTGGCTGGCATTCTTTATACTTTACGCAGGACCATATCTCTGGAACCCATAGGTTGATTTGGGTGATTTACACCTTTTTCTTAACCATTACATCCAATAGAATCGATGGGCAGTTCCCAAATCCACGTAAACATTACCATAACTGAAATCGGGTTTTAGGATGCGTCACTGCAGTCACATCCTAAAACCGCAGTGACGCATCCTAAAACCCGGAAGTAAGTTAGCATTTTTACCACGTCCGGTTCCTTCGATAAAAAGCAATGCAATTTCTCCATAGGATTTTAGAAAATATCTCCAAATAAGGTCTGTGTTTGACACAAATTGAAGAGACAGATCACGTTTTGTTCTACGACATTAAATACATCAGCAGTGACCCCGCTGGTGATTTTTTAAGAGTTTACGTGTCTGAAAAACGATGGTTGTTAACAAGTGGCTGAATAGGACTACAGAAGTTGTCCAGGCCGTTTTACGCCATTACACCGAACACGTAAAACACTCCTGCTAAGTTTGTTTGCCCTGTTCTGCTTGAAAGGAAGTACCTGCCTCCTGCAAACTGTTCAAACAAACACTTCAACTTGTACCATTTACAATCTGTATGTTTGAATATGGATCTGAAGTTGGCGTGACGTTGAAGCAGCGACCCTGCTGTAGTTCCTTTATAGCATAATGTTAGCATTTTGCTTCTTGCGACTATATTTATGCTTAGAAAATTATAAAAGTAGGATAGACATGTGGATATTATCCAGCTGAACAAAACGTGATCCGTCTCTTAAATGTGTCTCAACCACAGACCTTATTGCGAGCTATTTTCCAAAATCCTATGGAGAAATTGCATTGTGTTTTTGACGAAGGAACCGGAAGGAGTTTACATCCGGGTTTTAGGATGCGTCACTGCGGTTCTCTATTGCGAACGTAATAGAGAAGCAAACAAAGCATATCTGAAAGTACAAGCCTGGACGGCAAAACTTTATACCCAGTATATTGCCATAAATATGATGATGGATTATCAGTAAAAATGTCTACTTGACACAAAGACATTGGATTAACCTTGAGCGGCGTTTTTATTCCGTTGAACACAACTTTTGATCACAAATCAAAAAAGGTAAGACGTAATTATTGTAATATTTTTGAAACCGGATGTTGTTTACTTTCTCTTTTCTGGCTGATAGCTCCAGGAATTTGGGGTCGTACAGTTATGACATTACATGTGTGGAATCTGTGGAGTCTCAGCTTTAATCGGATATCTTGTTTGTGCCGTTACGATAAGTAATAAGGGCATTTCTACCGTGAGTGCTGTGCAAAAGTCCGTTAGCATTAGTTAGCATTTTTTCGCTCCATGCTAATTCAAAGGCTTGGTATTACTCTTGTGTTTCTTTTAGCTAAAAATGGTTCATATTGTCAGTTAGCTGAGTTTCTTACCGTTAAAAGGGTATGGAACATTAATAGTTTCATAAATGTTAAGAAGCCCTGAGACATAGTCTCGTAAAAAAACGGTGGGAGGGGTCCACTGGGGGGACCCTCGGGTTTAAGTGGTTAAGAATTATCAGAACATTTCAAAGGGGACGCAGTCACATTGGATTAACCTATGGATTAACTACACCATCGTTTTTTATCGTTTTAATGCCATTGAAGACCAGTTTAGACCAGACAAAGACAAAGGTAAGCCATGTTAGCGTTGTGGGCTACCTAGCGCCACT